ATCCAAATTACGGAAACATGTTACAAGTTGTAATCAGTTTTTACCTGTCGTTATGGTATAGGTATGTATTTGGGGTTTATTAATTCTTGAACACCTCCCAGGTTTCTCAGTCCCTTGCGCACCTGCACGGTCACCATCGGTGGGGGTTGCAGCAGCCCTTCCCAAGGTCATGGACGCAAACTTGGCAAGCATGGAAATCTGTGGCTAGGAGAAAGTTAATGCCATTTACCTCGCTATATCTTCTATTCCCTAGAGGTGTTCAAAAAACATTTGGATGTGGCGCTTCGAGACATGGTTTAGTGGGCATGGTGGCATTGGGTATACGGTTGGACTTGATGATCTTTGAGGTCTCTTCCAACCATAATGATTCTATGATTCTATTCTACATTACAATTAAATGTTTTTATTTATTAATATTAATCTTGCTAATGATTAGCCTATCTTGTTCTGGTTTTGTTTGACATAATTCTTTGAAATCTGCTTTGCATTACACACACAAACACAGCCACAAACTGCCAACAGCTGGAGAGCATGGAGCCACCCCCACCTGGCAGTGTCCCAGACAAGACAATGCCATTGCCCCGATCCCGGTGGCACTGGTGTCCAGGGGCTTGGATTAAGGGTGGAAAGCTCATGCACCAACGAGCAAACTCCCATCTCCCAAGTTCAGCTGTAATACTGGTTTTGTGCCTTAAAACCTTCGAAACCTGTTACTTTGGGATAGGGAAGAGAAGGAAGCCAGTAGTTTTGATGATGTAAAATGAAAGTAAATACACAAAAACCAAGATTTGAGTTGTAGCTAAAAAAAAGGGAATACAGCCTCAGCCCACAGCAAACACCAGCCACACACACACTCGTGCAGCTGAAAGCTTTCCCTGGGGCTGCTTCTCTGCAGCTCCTGTGCAGCAAGGGGAGAGGGGGAGAACTGGTACAAGGTTTTAGTCCCCGCTCCCTCATCACTTATAAAAATGTTTTAAACTAATCACAGAGACAGCCTGGCAGCGTACAGCAACGGGCCCAACAGCATGGGTGAGCTGAAGCCCAAAATGCCGACAGAGGCGGCTGCTCCAGAGTGCTGCCAGCCCGGCACGTCCCACCCACGGCTTCATCGCCCAGTGCTGCAGAGCAGCTTCTCGGAGACCCCTTCCTGGTGGGAACAACTGGGTTCCCTCCCCGCTTTCCCTCCCGACCAGTCCATCGCACTGCCTTGCAGACAGTTTCTCACTGGGTTTTTAATGCCTCAGGTTTAAGACAGCAGTTTGTTTCCTTGCCTGCACAGACATACATAGCACAACTTGTGTGTCCAGGTTTCCCCTCAACCTCCTTCCCCTCCTGCCTGGCAGCTCTGGGGCAGGCAGGAGCTCCGATGGCCACGTAAAGCGGGCTGCAGGCACCAACCTGCACAGTGCCACGTACATTGGCTACCAAACAAGGTCCTGGTGACCCATCCTGCTGCAGTGTGGTAGGACCAGGTTTTCCCTGCGGGATAGGTCTCCAGCGTCCATCAGTCCATGGGGACACCGTGGTCTCACACGCTCAGTCCTTCCTCCTCCAGAAATCCAGCGCAGGCACCCAGACACGCAGGTCAGTGCCTGCAAGGGGGGGAAGCAGGAGATGTGGACAGGAGCAGAGGGGAACCCAGTGTGGCCACTGAGTCCACACCAGCCATGTCACACAGCCCGCAGGCAAAACCAGTGGGGAACCATCAGTCATCTGCAAAGTCAGCGCAGCTGCTCCCGTACGGGGTAACCAAACGCAGCTTCTCCTGCAAGGTTTTGGGAGCACCGCGCAAGCTTCGTGCTTCACGCCAACCACCAGACCCTCACCAGGACTTAGGGAAACCCCTCAGGACCTGTCACAGGACCACTGCCTAGGGCAGATTTTTCCACCTTTCTCTGAAGCAGCTGGTGCTGCCAGATGCAGAGGGCACAGGCTGATGCAGTTGTGCATCTGTGTACGAAGCCCAAAAGGAAGCCTTGCCTCCACTGCCGGCTCAAGATTTCACAAATACGATAATAAAGGAGCATGAATTTTCCCCTTTCTCTGCTCCTGAAGAGTTAGGATAGACCGGTGAGAAGCTGCAGCTGTGTGGCAGGAGGAATACAGGCTGGGCAAAGGCACTTCACCCTTTCCAGCACTGGTTCTTCAACAAGCACAGTCCCTGGGCACGCAGCAGGATAACAGCACTGCCACACTTGCCATAAGCTTGCTTCCCAGCTGCTCTGGAGATTGCACACATGGCATTTCCATATGGTTTCAAGCCTCTTGACTCTTCTATAGCCCCCCACAAACCTTTGCTGTCCCATCTCCTCTCTCCTTTCAACTCCCCCTCCATCTGCAGAAGCACAAATACAAATCATTTGCACAGCCACTTACTTGCGCTGCCTTTCACATGAGCTCAGCAGCCTTTTCTCTTCCCTCGAGCTCTGAGGTTTAGACCTTGTGCTCTGACTTGAGTCAGCAAATCCAGCAGCAAACGTTCTTTGCAAGCAAGAAGGAACTAGAGGTCTTTTACCAACAGCTTGATGAAATTCTCCTCCAGCATCTCAGACGGCGCTTGCTCCTTGCCGAGCGACCAGCAAAGCTGGTTTGCACCATTCCCGTGGGTTAGGAAGTGTCACTGCCCGAGTGCGACACGGCGCCGGCAGCAAAGAGGGGGTTTCCAGCCATCCAGCTCCGTGCATCAGCATGGAAGTACAACACAGATTTTTACGTAACTGGTGGCTGTGCTTGCTCAGACTTGCTATATATGGGAGTTTTCTCCATTCATTCAGTGAAAGGGGGAAGGTTTTAACATCTGAGAAAGCAGGACTAGAGGCAGCTCAGAGCTGCAGAAGTTGTGGACGTTGGTCATGCAAGCACACAGGAACTGTTGTTCTTGTGTAGGCACAAGCACACTTGTGCCCTCAGAGAGAGGGAGGCAAGAATTCTTTCCTGCTCTAACATGCACATGAAGACCCTGATCCTGCCACTCTTGCACACATCTTTCTGGATGCAGCTATGTCTTTGTTTCAAAAAGAGGTCATGGTAACCCTTCCCTGCCTGACAAAACGATGTTGTCCGTAACCCTGAAGTAGCCGATCACTTTGGGAAGGAATCAGATTAACACATCACTCAAATTTTGCTAAGAAGGGGAAAGCTGAACTGAGATCCTGCTTGCGCCGCAGAGGGAGGGGCGGAGGGCAGTGAGGCGACCAACAGCCAGAGGAACTGCTGCTAGCAAGGGGCAAATATCAAGGCCCTTTTTGTGCCCCATTGTTTGCTCTCTGCAGAATATGTCATGTTTGTCTTGCTGGCTACTTCTGGGATATGTATGAAAGAGCGTTTTTCATGCTCAGTCAGTTAATTATTAGCCATGGACAAGCGGCCACTGAGCAATTAAAAATCACAATACAAGGAAGAAAGCACAACAGAACACCTTTCATCTTAACACGGAAATAAAAGCCTTTTTCTTCTATCGGGAATTACCCTTAATAAAATTGTGTCACTTGATGCCCTGAAATCAAATTCCTCTGAATGTTTATAAAGACTTTCCTTGGAACCTATCCTCTTCTCTAGAACTTGGAATAGGCCGGTAGATCAACAGCTGTGCTCAAGAAATGCACATTCCCACCACCGTGCCGTGTCCAACAGCACACTCGGCTTCAGGGCAAAGAAACAGTTTGGTGAATTAAGAGCCTTGGCTTCCTCTGAGCCATCACTCCTCAGTCCAAAACAGGGGGAAGGTCAGAAATATTCATCCTGAAGACTATGGACACATTTCAAGAGACACGCAGTTTGGTTTGGCATTCCCCAATAGCCATCGCTGAGTTCTGGCCAAGGGTTAGTTTTGGTGCAGTAGGTTCTGGTGGACATGCAGGTGGGATGGTGCTTTACTTGGTTTAAGTCTGATTCTTGGAGGGGTGGGGGTGAGGGGCAAATCCCTGCATCTCTCTCACTCTACCAGCAGCTGAAGAAAGAAAAGAAAGTAGAGGTGAAAATATTATCCATTTTCTCTTTTGTATGTCTTTGAAGAGACCAGGGAGACAAAGAGCAGTAATTAAACACTGGCTTCAGGCAGAAACTCTGCTGTATGTCATAAGGAAGAAATTCTTTACAGTGAGGGTGGTGAGGCAGTGGCAGAGGTTGCCCAGAGAAGCTGTGGCTGCCCCATCCCTGGAAGTGTTCAAGGCCAGGTTGGATGGGGCTGTGAGCAACCTGGTCTGGTGGGAGGTGTCCCTGCCCATGGCAGAAGGGGTGGACTAGATGATCTTCAAGTGTCCTTTTCAAACCAAAGCATCCTGTGATTCTGTGAGAGCAGGTTTTCCTAAGGAGTGGCTTTGGCACCCAGGCTTACAAGCGAACAAGCCTTCCTTTCACTGCCCAAACAACATTGAAGGAAAGTATGACCCCAACTATTAAACTGTTAGAAGCAACATTATCTCCTGGCAAGGGTCAAGAGAGCAGTCGAGCTCCGGGTTGCCACCTGACTCTCATGCCTGCCAGACCTCAGCAGGTTTTGGACTTCAGCCTTGTGACGGGCTGTTCTGATTTACAAGTGTAAAATCAGATAGCATTTCTGATTTTCAATCAAGTCTCTTCTAGTTTGGCCAAAATGACTTTACGCTGTGCACGCTGCTGCTGTTGCCTGCCCAAGGGACATTGTCCCTGGATCACTGCTGATGGACACATTGGTGACTTGTAGGCATTGCATTAACCAAGTTTGTCACAAGAACAACTCCCCTCATGTTACAGAAGGGAAAATTGGGGTGTTGGGATGAAATCCACGGGCATTCACAATGCCATGCAGCAACACAGGCACAAATAGTTATCAGCTCCCTCTTTCCGATCCAATTGCCTGACAAAAGCAATTAAAAGCTGTATTTCTCTCTAGGTCAAGTAGCCACAACCCTCATATCCTCCAGGCACAAGGATTATTAGATGACTTCATTAGTTACCTTAATCATTTTGCAAGTGCATTATTCACCAACTTCTGCGCCTTTCCAGGGAATGCAAGAAAAATGACTTTACCAGCACTCATCTTCCTGCTCGCCTTCCTCCCAGCTGAATCTGCAAGCAGCAGATACCTCCCCAAGGCAGCAAGTAAGTGTTACCTCTCTGGGGCATGGGTCTTGTGGGTGGCCTAAGACCAGAGGTGGCATGACTGAGGGGGGAGCAGGGGGAATCTCTACCCCTTCAGCGCCCATTGCTGCCGTGGGGCCTTTCAGATGCCCTGGATCCACACTTGCCCCAGTACACCCAACCTGCCCTGCGGTCCATTGGGTTGGGTAGCACAGCTGACTTTTACAGCCATCATGTTTTCCCCTTGCAGTCTCGAGCCCTGTGTTCGGACCACGGCAGGTATATGGTCTGCTCAATGGATCAGTTACGGTGAAATGCTTCTACCCTCCCACCAGCGTGAACAGACACGACAGAAAGTACTGGTGCAGGGAATCATCCACGGGCTGCATGACCATTGTCTCCACCAGCGGCTACACTGCTCCAGGCTACCGAGGCAGAGCCTCCATCACCGACTACCCGCAGGCAGAAAGTTTCCAGATCAACATCTCTGAGCTTACAATGGCAGACGCAGGCACCTACCAGTGTGGTGTTGGTATCAATGGCAGAGGGCTCTCCTACAAAGTCAGTCTGGATGTTACTCAAGGTAATTACAGTCTTGGGGCTCCTCAAACTATTATTTTCTTTTATTTCCCTTCCCTCCTTTTAATAAGGTTCCACAGATAGTCTGTCCAGTGTCTAAGAGCTCAAGATGCTCCATGCTTTCAGGAACCAACAGCTTTCATTTCCCCCTGCGCTCTTACAGAATGAATTTTTTGACCAAAAATCTGGCATAAAAATCAGATTAAACAAACCTCATCTTAAGGTCACAAACATTGCTTAGAAACTGCTGACCTCTCTCAACCGCTAAAATTTAGGGAGATGCAGTCAGAGGGCAGAACCGCTGATCACTCTGATGTCCCATCCAACCCACGGCTGAGGCTGTGCCAGCCAAGCCTGTGCACCAGTCCGTGGGTGCAGGGCATGCAGGACAGCACCATGGTGCTGAGCATGGCCCAGGGTGCAGAGCATGGGGCAAACTCCTGGCATGGCCACTGGTGAGAAAACTCTGGGAGAAACCCTGCTATAGATCAGGCAGTGATACAGCATAGAGACCTCAGTCCTGAAATGTGTGACAGACACGGGACACAGCTGGGCAGATAATGCTCCAACCAGGAGTGGCATGTGATCGTATAATACAGCAAAGTAGAGAGAAACCCTCTGCTAAAAAAGAAGTTTTCAGAGGTATAGGGGAGTTGGAGATGGCTGCTGACAGAGCAGGCAGCGGAGGCTGACCAGTGTCTCTGTATGCACAGGTCCACACGTTCCCGAGGGAGCTGAGCTCTTCTACGTGAAGCTGCACAGCACTTTGACCATGTCCTGCAGCTTTGGGGACAAGATTGAGATAACGAGGAAATTCTTGTGCAAGATGGAGAAAAGCGGCTGCCGTACCATCATCGATAGTCATGACAAGATTGATGAGAATTATGTAGGGCGAGCTCTGATAAGCAACGAGGAATCTCCAGGCTCATTCAGCATCGTGATAACTCAGATGGGCTGGGAAGACGCTGGCTTGTACCTGTGCGGGGTCGGCGTCTATGGGGAGAGTGGAGAAACAAAGGAACTGGACGTGCACGTCTATGAGGGTGAGTAAGCTATTCCCAGTGGTTTTTTTCCCTTCATCTCTGCTTCTCTTTAGAAACATCACTAGCAGTCTCACTTTATTTAACAAGAACTTTAATTTCACTTTTCAGAGTGCTATTGTCCTATCCTCTCACCTAGGTACTTCTTTCTATTCATTTAGCTATCTGTAATGTACTAAACCATCATTAATAAAGCTGGTATCAAGACTTAACTTTCCCAGCATTGGCTAGCTATCTTCCCCAGTCTGGCTAACCCAAAAGTCCAGAGGGCAAATTCTGCCTACCAGCATGAGATAAGCAAACTGTCTCCAAGTCTCCACTCCTTAAATCTCAATTCCTTAAATCTCAGCATGACAAATGTAGAAAGGAGAAGACCTGCTCTTCCCCTAGCAAAGGGAGCTACACTTAGAAATGTCAGTACACAAAGACAACGACCACCCAGTGAATTTGGGTAAAAGAAAGGCCTGACAGACCCTTTAGGGTCAATTCCTAGGAGTGCCAGCACTTGGCACTTGTCTGCACCCTGAGCTTCGCCTAGCCTTGCCTTAGCCAAAACAGCTTTGTTTGATCTGATAATATTTGTTCTATTGGGAAAGTGCCACATGTACAAAAGTTAGACATATATAGCTGCTCATTTCATTTTTATCTCCAGAGACAAATGTTCCTCAAGCAAAGCCCACAATAATTGGAGTAAAAGGAAGTTCAGTAACTTTTGAATACCGCTACGAGCCTAGAAAAAGGTCCTCAATGAAGTACTGGTGCAAGTGGAGACAGAAGGGGTGTAGTCGGATCATAGACAGCTCCGGGTTTGTGTCGGGCTTGTATGAAGGAAGAGTGGTCATGTATGACAACCCAGTTAACAAGACGATGACCATCATCCTGAACCAGCTGAAGGACAGTGACAAAGGCTATTACTGGGGCATGACGGCCGAGGAGAAGGAGCAGCAATCATCAACTGAGCTGAAGATCATAGAAGGTACGAGCTTGCGCATTGGCAGTTCTCTGCCTGCTCAGTAGGTACAAAACAACCTCCTAAGCACCACAAAGGAGCAGATCTGGCTTTTTGAGAAGAGATGTGATGCCCAACCCTGAAATTTTATCTCATAAGGCCATTGTGCCAATCTCCCCATACCTCAGTAGGTTTAAAATGGGAACACAAGGTTCCAGTTTTATGGCAAAGCGTTCACAAAAGTTTCTCATGCAAGTATTTCTTAAGCCTTGCAAAACCCCCCCCCAGCTTTCACCCAGAGGTGCATATACAGCAACCTTAACGTTAGTTTAGCAATGCAAGAAGCATTTTCCCTCAAAGACACATCTCCTGGTTCACCATCTCTAGCAGCACCACTGCCTGTTGATTACCATTCCCACCGCTGAAACCACTAATGCCAGCTTTGATGTTCTGTTTGCCCTTGCAGGAGAACCTGGACTGAAGGGAAAGACAGAAGTGGAGGCACAAGTGGGTTCACGGGTCGATTTAACTTGCTCTTATCCATGCAAGTACTACTCCTACCAGAAGTACTGGTGCAAGTGGAATGGCACCAGCTGCAACCTCAGGTCTTCTTCTGATCAAAGACAGCCAGGGCCAGACGTTACCTGTGACACTGACAACAAGACAGTTATCCTAAGCTTTGACTCGGTGGCAAAGACAGACGAAGGATGGTACTGGTGTGGAGTGAAGCGCAACGGCATCTTTGGGGAAACCATGGCAGTGTACTTGCAGGTGACTGGAGGTGAGCTCCAAGGCAAAGGCAGGCAGGGGCTTTCCTGCTTGTCCGGCTGCGAATCTTGCTGCCTTCTGCCGAGAGAAAAGTCCTTTCCAAAGCCACTAGGTTGCAGCACCTCAAAACAGAAGTGCTCCGGCCTCCCAGACTAGGTGCCAACATCACCCTGGTTTTGCACTACTGTCATAGATGTTTTCATCCACTCACTGGCTTTTGCTTCCCCCAGTCATAAAAAAACCTCAACAGTCTAAAAATCACTTCCTTCCACACTATTTTTACTTTTTAACCCTGTTCTTACCTATTATTGCTATTGCAATTTGTGGCATCATTTAGTTTAGGCAACATCTGACACCTGCCAGGTGAAGGACTGCAAGTAGTTCACAGCTGCATCTTGCTCCAGGGAGGTTGTTATCTCAATAAACAGGGAAACAGCGGGGAGCAGGAGAGGAAGGGCTATCACCAACAGCAAGGGGCTCAGTCTCAGCTTTGGTGCAGCATTTTGGAATTAAGATGTTTTTCTCAGGGAGGAATATTGTTAGAAGCAGCAAACAAGCATAGCACTAGATATCCCACATGCAACCGTCCTAAGTGGATGATGGTCAAAGTGCAAACAGAAAGAAACAGCCTCATTTCATTGCCTTTGGTGGGCAAAGAGCTAGAAATAAAAGCAAACCAAGTATTCAAAGTTTGCTCTGGAAATACTCGAGGCAGAACTTAGAAATGCAAGACTTTTTCAAATGTGTATAGGCAGAGAGAGCCCACTTGAGATTTTTGCAATAAGTTATTTGGAATGAGATCATCTCAGATCTCTAAACCCCATTTTAAAGAGCCTCTCATGTACAGCCAAAACCCACTGCAGCTCCACGTGCCCCAAAAACACCCAACTGCTTTTTGTGTCACCATCTCCGTGCTGCTGTTCATGCGACTAACCGCCCTTCTTCCCTGGGATGTACAGGAAGCGATGCCGGCCGCAGCCTCGAGCTCCTCAATGCTGAGCCCCCCAGCCACGCCGAGCCCCCCAGCCACGCCGAGCCCCCCAGCAACGACGAGCCCGGCTTTATTCCCCAAGGAAGAGCCAACAGTGATGCTGGGGTGCACAGCGCAGCTGCCTCCGAAAGGTTTGTTCTCTCCAAGCCTCTGACATTTAACATTTTTTGTGAGGTTTGTATTAACCCATTGGTGGTACTGTGTTTGCACCCTGCATGTGTGGTGTAGCAACAACAACAAAAAAATCTTGTCCCCAAAGAATTTAGCTCAAAACATCAGGAGAAAAGATTAAAAAAAGTTACAGCAAAAGGCAAGATGACTTGAAATTAATCTCTAGCTCCAGAAAATACAGTCCCAGAAGGGAATGATTAGAGATTCCAGGTCCAGAAAAACTAATTGAAAATACTTCTGTCAAGATTAGAGAGCTTTCCTTTGCACATTTGTAACCAAGCTGCTGATGCAGCTGTTTTGGCACAAGCTCTGTCCTACGCTTTAATTTGGTTTTTATTTTATTATATGTGCTAGGATCCAGTTCATTAATTGAACTGCATCATGCTCACTCACCTTTACCATCCTATACAGATTTTAGCTGCTGGACACTCATATACATTATTCAGTCTTGAGCAATTAAAAAAATATTTCACAGCTTAGTGATATATCTTTCCCTCCATTCCAGCTCCGACCAAAGCCATGGCTCCAACACACTTGTTCTGATCGCAGCCCCTGTTGGTGCCGTGCTCCTCATCCTCGCAACAGCTTTTGCCGTTTTTAAATACCGGCAGCTGAAGAGATCGGGTGAGTCCCTGCCTTTTCCAGGCTCTCGGGAAATGTCGGCAGTACCGAAGTGAAGGCGATACCTTGTGCGTGCCACAGTCTCTGCTGGGCTGAGCTGCTCCCCTGGTACCCCACCATGCGATGAGCAGACAAGGGACCCTGCCTCTCCCACTGACCCATCCTTACGGCTCCAACACCCAGCGCACAGGGTGCCCGGGCTGAGACAGAGACCACCCCTCCGCGGGCTTCGCACATTGCATTGCACGGCCTCTCCTTGAGGGGAGGCGGTTCAGATGTTGATGTGCTTGCACCCACTCTGAGCGAGGGTTATCTCCCTTTTAACAGACCTGGTGTCCGTTGGGAGCTACAGGACAAACATCAGCATGTCGGACTTCGAGAGCGTGAAGGCGTACAGCGCAAGCAATAACGCCTGCGTGAAGGAGAGCCAGGAGACTCAGATAGGAGGGGACGGTAGGTTGCTGACTGAGGGGCTGCCCTCCATCCCCAGCCCCGGGGTGAGGGGTACCAGGGAAGGCTTTGCAGAAGGACCCTACAAAAGCCATAGGAATACCTGCCTGCCGATGGCCCCCACACCCTAACACCTCCCTTTCTCTCCCAGCAGAGCTCATCACCACCGCGGCCGCCCCAGAAAGTGCTGCTGAGACCAAGAAGGCGAAAAGGGTAAGAGAAGGCAGGAGAGAGCCCACTGACCTGGGAGGCACCGCCGCAGCCCTCCAGCTTCTACCAAAGGAGCTGCCCTCTCCCAGGGGCCTTATTTATACCCAGGTGCTCTCCATCTTACCTGGATCTGGCCACCTGCCACAGATCAGCCTCAATTGGGGGATCTTAACCCTTTCCTAACCCCATGTCTTAGCAGAGGCAAGAACAGCAGTCGCCTTGCTATAAACAGTACACCAAGTCCGGCCCAGGTAGCATCAGGAAGGCTGGGGTTGGGTCGTTACCGTAAATATGAAACCCTGGGATAAGCAGATGGCCAGAAGCCAGAGCACATCCCGCCTCCCAGCCTTCCCCTGACGTGGGCAGTGGTTCAGGGGGCAGAGGCAGGCGGGGGGGCTCTGCCGTGGCGACGGCTGTGACTTGTTCCTGTGGCCCCAGCAAGCCCCTGCCTTCCCCTGCCCTTGGGTACAACCATGGCCGAGGGGCACCACGCAGCAGTGACTGAAGGTGCCAGACACAAGCCCTTCTTTTTAAAAGTCCCTAACCAAAGGTAATACGTAGGTGCTGTAAGCGCAAAGAGCAGAACAGGAGCAATAAAGGAAGCTATGAGGAAGCCAGTAAAAGCTAGCAGCTTTAGGGCAGGTGAGCTGGGTGCCAACATGCAGGGACAGGCATGCCACAGAGTCCCAAACCCACAAACTTTTGTGGTCTTCCCCGGGCTGAGCTAAGGTGTGATGCTCTCGCATCAGCACCGAAGTGACCCACCGGATTGTCCCACTCATCCAGTCTGCTCGTATCACCCCGAGAAGCTCGCGGCCCACGACACGCTGCCCTTTCCCCTGCCATGTGCTGCTGTCCATCCCCGACCACCTAACAGCGTCCCCCCGTCCTTCCCCAGAGCTCCAAGGAGGATGCTGACCTCGCCTACTCCGCCTTCCTCCTCACCTCCGGCAGCATCGCACAGGGCGGCTCTGGGGGGGACAGCGCTGCCCCAGACGTGTCCCCCTCGACCTGGGAGGGCCAGATCTGAAGGCGAGGGACCGAGAGGCGGCAGCGACTGGGACCGGCTCTACTTTGAGGATCAGAGCAAGACATCAGCAGGCAGCTCTGTTTATTGCTACCACAATTTGCTATAGCTTGACCTTTTTTTGCTTAAATTCAGCTTTGAGCAGTGATTTAGGAGGAATCGTTGGATGCCAAACGGGGTGGTTGGGCTGGGGGTGCAGGTCTGAGCGAGCAGGGTGGACTGGGGAAT